TCTCTGTTGTATATCATTTGCATGTTAATTTGTTTTTAAAATTAATAGACACTTTTTATCTAAACTTGAATTAGTGGAATGAATTGTTGGTATTGGTTTTATAAGCTACTATAAATTGCCATGCTGCATTTGTATGGCATTTTATAATTTACAAAGTAATTGAATATAATATTCTCACATTAATTGGCTATGGAAGCTTAATCAAACTAGGGAGTGATTTTTCTTCAGGATGGAACTCTCATGCCTTTTGTTCAGTGGCATGTGTATAGGTAGGTACGTCATCCTTTGAAGCCTCCACAGGCTTCTTTCTTAGTTCCATATCTCTTATCTGACGATGATTCCATTGAGAGGAAAGACCTCATCTTTGACACAGATGTATTTATTCTGCAGGGACCAGAAGCAAAGAGGCTATTAGATTGAGAAGGTACATTTTGAAAATCTAATCCTGTAGTGTAAGAACAGTAGACTTATTAACAGTTCCTTTGAGATACTGGAAATCATGTCTTTGGACTAGTCAAAATAGCCTCACCTCTTAGGAATTTAATAATTGTTTCTGAAATACCTTTTAACTTGGGCACGGGGATACTGGGGAAGAAATGTCAACAAGCTCATCATGTGGTGAGGATGGGCAAGATGCCTTTTTTTGGTACTACAGGCGTAGAGCATATCTGTTCCACTTAGTGACACAGACTCTAGGTCAGACTGCGATTCTTGAAAGGTTGAGGGATCCCACTGAGATGGCTTTATGCTAGGATCTATGGGTCCTCAAAACATCCTGCCACCAGAACAATCCTGTTTCCGCTCAGAGTTCCTATCATGTCATTCTAAAGCTTTACCTAGATGTCTACTTTAGATGCTATTTTCACCCGAAAAGAAAAATAAACTTGACGTCCAAATGTGTGGATTTAAGACTTATAAAGAGATAATGAAATTACAGTCATCATCTTCCAATGATCTTTTTAGGTAGTAAGGGCTCCAAAATGCAACACTTAGAAGTTATTATTTTGAAGTGTTTTCTTTCAATTCAAGAAATTGGAACAAATCTGCATCTGAGGGTACTAAACGTAGTAGCAAGTTTGGGATTGTTAAGGATGAGTTTCTAAGTTATTGAAGTAATTTCTTTCTAATTATCTTGAAGCAGAGGTAGCAACTTTTAGAGTTGCATGAACAATACTAATATTCCCTCAAGTTTTTGTAAATGAGAGTATTTTTATTTCAGAATTTACCACAGTAAAGATGTATGTGGGTCTGTTAACCTAATTACTATTTCAAAGTAAGATTGTACTTTAAAAGTACAAATTTGTGTCCTTGGCTGTGCATGTGTTAATGGGAAAATGGCATTTTTCCCATCTGAAAAGGAGTGACACAGATTTACCATCCATAAAAAAATATCATGTAGTGAAACTAATTGCCTCAGTCAGAAATCTAAATGGCTTTGTCGGTTTAGAGAAGGAAGTTAGCACTTTCTGGCAGCCATAATTGTGATAACAGCCTAACCGAGAACCAGAACCGTTAATATGGCTCTTTAATTGCCTAAAGTAACGATAGATACTTAAGTGATATGTCATCTCATTTATCATGCTCCATTGTGGTTTATTTGCCTCACAAAACTTTCAACTTGCTTTGAACACTTTTCTGTCAGGCATCAGCTACTGGCTGATTGTTTTCCACCATGCTGTTCTGATTACCACTTTTTAAAATCACTCCTCCTGCTGTTTCTTTTTCTTCACGCTGGTGCCTTAGCTGCCTGGAGGGCATTGTATCGAGCTGTTGACATAGAGTAAATCAGTGACTCACAGAGCTCAGCCTTCTCCACCTTTGCATCTACTTTTCAAACTTCAGTATTTCTGTGATTTAACCCTTGGGATGGCTCTTGATTATCCTAGATTTGAGTTTTCGAAACAGCTTGGTGATTTGCTTGGGGAAAACATCCTTTTAAGGAATTCCTTGTTTAAAAATTCAACGTAAGTTGTATTTTGTAAACCTTAGTCGTAATTTATAACTATTTATTAGGAGTGTGTTTTAGAAAACCGAATAAAATTAACTCTCACAGTTGATTACTAATAACATTCACTATCTGTAAATTAGAATAGACTAGAAAATACCCACAAATGAATGAGGATACTTGGATTTCCCAATGAACTACTCAGAAGCGACTTAAAGCAATTCTGAGATATTTCTTTCATGATTGGTGTGGAAAAAGTCTTCATGGCCAGGGTCCTCAATCACTACGGAGTTTCTGCTCCCTGTTCCATCACTTTTGGGCTCTTGTCCAATCTCCTTCTATGCTCTGCACTCCCATAAGGGAAGCTGCCACTGCCACGCCCACTGAACCTGTCCTTTGATCACTTTCCTCATTGATCCACATAGCTCTATTCAGAAGACTACAAGACTACAACCATTAGACTGTTTCCTTACAGTATTCTAGGTATCTGTTGGGGAATCTTTGTTACATCCCACTGAGTGAGAAGATTTGAGGTAGGCAGTCCTGGAATCTTGTGTAAGGCTTACACTGTGTAATCCATGTTTTAGGGATACTTAATCAAATTTGTCAAGTTATATGCATTGCTTTGGAGGGAAGCCTGTCTACCACCCTCTTCCATCCCTCCTTTTCATGTTCCCCACTATGTACACACACACACACACACACACACACACTCACTCACTCACTCATGCACACCACAGACACTTGAAATTCGCATCATACATTGTAGTAGTCTGAGTCTCCTGGTACTACATAATTTTTAATACTTATGTAAAAGTCAGCTTTTCAATTTTACTGTCACTTATTGATTGTTTTCACCACCACTAACATAAAATCCAGAACCTAATGTGTATTTGTTTACAGTAACATAAATATGTGCATACATTATGCTGAAATCTTTTGTTCAGTGCAATGGCAGGAATGACACATTTTAAAAAAGGTTTTATTTATTTATTGAAGGGAGAGAGAGCATGAGTGAGAACTTGGGAGAGAGCATAAACAGTGAAGAAGGGCAGAGGGTGAAGCAGACTCACCACTAAGCAGGGAGCTGAAGGCAGGACTTGATCCCAGGACCCCAGGACCATGACCTGAGATGAAGTCAGACACCTAACTGACTGAGCCACCCAGACACCCCAGGAATGCCACATTTTAAAGATAGACAGGAATAGTCTGTCATGCGTAGAACAATTGTAGGAATCAAACAATCTCAGCAATGATGCTAAACTATTCTTTTGTCGAAAGTATTTCTGATTTTAGACAATCCTACCTTTGTGTTTTCAACAACAACAACAACAACATATAAAAGATCTAATGTGTTCTGGATTTCTTTAAAAGATGCATGTTCACATTTCTGAGTTTGCAGTAGTTTGAAATTTTAGGAATGTCAGAGGCTTAAAGCATCCAGAGAGAGAGAGGCAGAGTATAAGTGGGAGTGAGCACATATTGTAATCTCGTCCATTACATGGCTTTGGGAAGATCTGCATTCACATGGAGGCAGGGCTCTCCACCTACCTTAGGTTCCCCAAGTTCAATTTTAGGGTTGTCTGTTACCCTCAAGATCCTTAGCTGACCTGGTTTGTATACAAGTATCAGTTAAAAGGCTGGGTGCCTGCTGGTCCTGGGTCTACATCTCTAAGCAGAGATTCACGCTGTTGCTTGCAGTCAGGAGTGGTTGGGAAATTTAGAGCATCCTCTCAGTTGAAGGGTGCCCTGATACTGTTGTGGATCAGATTTGGGTTTAAATTCTCTCTTTTCCACCTATTGGCTGTGTGACTGTTGCTTTATTTCTATGAGCCTCAGTTTCTTCATTTGTAAAATGCAGAGCTGTCATAAGGAATAAATGGACTAACATGTCCAAACGTGCCCAGTACTTGGAAAGTACCACCACTAGCATACAGAATTGCTGTGAGTAATATCCACAGTAAGTGGTTTGATTAGATAAAACCTGGCAAACTACATTTTCAGACAAAACTCTTAAAAATCATCTGTTCTATTCCCAGTCAGTTAGAGAATAAGTACCTAGAGAAATTCCAAGCCTGGAGAGGGTCTGAGAGAGAGAGAGTAAGAGAAGGAGAGAGGGAGGGGGGCAGAGAGAAGGAGAATGTTCTTTGGGAGTTGTATTAGTTCTGTGCTTTTCTAGATGGATACCCAGTGGCATACAGCTGGTATAATGAAATTGTACATTATTAATTTATTTTTAAAGATTCCTTAACTTGATGTACACTTTTTCTTTCATCTCTTCTTATATGAAACCCAATTAGAGAAGAAGGTGATGTGTAATCAATACTTTTATTCACAGGTGATTTTCCTTGAGAAGCATTTACAGTCAATGCTGCTTTGAAATTTTTGTTAGCTTAAAGAACAGAAAAGTGCCATTCAAACTGAATTAGATCGTCCAATGGTTCTATGAACTATCGACCGAGTGAGGAGTTCTGATGCACTTTAATTGAGCCTAAGGCTTCTTATATTCTTTTAAAATGCCCTTAGGTTAGATTGTACAGAGTAAAAGATAGGTGTTTATTTTCAAAATTGACTTAAAGTATTATTGAAACAATGAGAACTCCAAAGACTCAGGGAATTCTAAAACTAAAAATATCTGCCTCTTTTTTTCTTGTCATTGTGCTCTTTGAATAGGTAGCTCATAGTAATAGTCTGTGCTAGAAGGCCCTCTGTTGAAGTAACCCAGTCATTATGATAACATAGTTCACCTTTTACCTTTTGTTTCTCTGCAATTTAACTCTAGCGCATACTAAAGCCCCTGAGTCATTTTGGAGTTAATATAAAACAGACCATGATAGCAAGATTTCAGATAAATAGCATAGAACTAAAATAGCAAGATATAATATGATTTTTCAAAACCACAATGTAAAATTTGTCAGTACTTAGGTCTATGATCTTCAAAAACATTTGGTAAAGACTTTCAGAACTAGTTTAAGTTTCGGTAGTGAAAATCGTCACTTAAAAAGAAAATTTTATAATTGTTTTCCTCTTTTCTTTTTTTTCTTTTCAATTTCAGGGTCAACCTGGTCCTCAGGTAAGTGAACTCTTTCCTAATAAATTAATTTCAGTTTAGGATTTCCTCCATGTGGAGATTTTTCTGCAATTCTTTTCAATGGCTATAAAAAAAGCTATGAACCAGTAATCATGACACCACACAGTAGACCAAATATTTCCCAGGAGTAAAGTTCTGGGGCCTCTGCAGGGTTTGTGAGCCACATCAGCTGTTGGGCCAGATGGCAAATTTAACAACGTACTATCATACAAAGCAAAACTCTAAACTGATCTAAAACAGTGCCACGGGACTTTAATGTAAGAATAAATGACTTAGTAGATGTCGGGTATGAACTGGTTTGCGTTAGGTACTGATTAATCACGTACTAATAATGTTGCCGTAAATCCACACAGACTGACTATTTAGACAGTGATCATACCGGTGACTTTTGATTCATTACAGGCAGATATTGAATTTGAGCTACATTTTCAATATAAACCAACTGCTGAAGACTTGATTTATAATTAAATGTGAATGCAGTCAACAGAAAAATCTTTAGAGCTATAAATCCTCTTGAAGAAAATGAGGAAATTTTAGGAAGGGGAGGAATGTGTAGGAAGATGAAAGTATAAAAGAAGGGAATGAAATGAAGAGTCAGAAATGAAGAGTCAGTAAAAAACAACACACTCAATATTAATACTGATTGTGGTCTGTAGGAAGCTATGGAGAAGGGAAATCCATTATTAATGTTTTTAACCTTTAACACCATAGTACCCATAAATAACATAAATATTTATTGAATTTCTCTTACGTCTCTTTCCCCTTGATATACCAAATGCTATTTCTGTCCTAGACTATTTAGTAAATAAATAATTTTCATGATATCTTTGTGGGTCAATATCCAAATTGTTGTGGGCTAATTCTCATACCAGACCATGAGGATATTATTTACCGTTTTTATGAGCTCAGTGTCTAAGTCTATCTAACAAAATAAACAAAGAAACCCACGTAGTTCAGTAGAGCAGTCCTTTCCATACCACATTCATGAGAGAAAGTTTGGCGTGTAATTAACTTATACTCGTATCAGAGAATACTCTTATTATTTGTGATTTCCACACTTGCTTTCTAAGTTGGCTCAATTATTGGAGGGAAAAAAACCCAGAAAAGAAAGTTGTAGCTTATTTACCAAATTTGAAACTGCTACATTGTAATGTGATGACGTCAAATATAAGGTGCTTTGCATGCTTTATTTTATTTAATGCTTACAACAGTCCTGCTGTTGTATACATGTGCATGGGCGCGCGCACACACACACACACACACACACAAATTGGAAGAGATCCATGACTCGCATGGAGTAACACCATAAAACTGGGGGCAGAAGTCAAGAATGTCTGTAAAAACCTCTACACTCAGCTCACAAGTGAAGACGAAAAGGTAAGATAGCAGAGGATAAAAGAAGTTGGAGTGCTGGTTTAGAGATTATTATAATCTGTAAAATATTTTAAGTATTAATAGGACCTCTGTCTTTGCTAGGATCACCTCTGCCTACCCTAAAGCAGTCTTTTAGATAAGGATTTGGGTATAAGTAATTTATTTGGGAGACAATCCCAGGAAGCATTGTGAGGGCATGGGGGAAATGACAGGAGAGACATGAAGGCCAGAAAACAGATGTATTCCTGAGAAAGCTGTGAGAGATGGTAGAGCTTGTCTCAGAATTGCTCACTGAAAGGCTGGGGAGATTGATGTATTTATCTACTAATTTTCCTTTCTCTATTGTTGAGAATGGTGCCTGGGTGTTAACTCCCCGGCACTTCTGGTCTGGCCTAGGAGGTCCAGCACTCTCCAGCTGCTAGAGGAATGCAGGCAGCTGTAGGACGTGTGGGACCTGCATCCTTACACTGCCTTGGAGGGAGGCAGCGGTGAGGCTTGGCACCTACATCTGGAACAGCGTCCAAGTACAAGAATCCTACAGACAAAACAGAGAGGGAAAAATTCAGATAGAGATATACAGACTTGGAAAATTGGACAAAAAGACAGCATTGAAAGCATATTAGTTAATGAGATGTTAAAGAAAATAGCTAAGAAGAAGAACATGTTCATAATAAATCTTGAGTTTCTGCCACAGTTAATGAGCAGAAGAAAGATGATAAACCAGCGATAAACCAGCATAGGGAGCCAAGAATGGGCAGGACATTATGAATCACTATAACCAAGATTTGAAAATATATCATGACACTTAAAAAATTAAAGTCTATCTAACTGCCTGTGCTTGAAAACTTTGGAACCTTTCAAGGAAGATAGAATTGGCATTTTAAAATAGTGACCTGCTCTGGTTTTCCTTCATCTTGGCTATCTGTTTGCCTTTAGTGGATACTTGAATCACATGATCATTATTTTCAAAATGTCTCCCTCTTGTCACAGCAAAAGGATAAGCAGTGGATTCAGGAAGAATTAGCATGAGGGAAATGCAAAGCCCGGAGATAACTCACATCATCTTTCTATGGCACAAAAAATAGGCAAAGAGTTTTGTTGGTATGTCCCCAAGGAAAAGTCTTGACCTACCTCTTAACTCTACGTCATCATCATTTTTCAAAAGAAACTTCCAAGTTTAGATTTTAAGTTAAGTAATTCTTTTTTTTTTTTTTTAAGATTTTATTTATTTATTTGACAGAGAGAGAGATCACAAGTAGGCAGAGAGGCAGTCAGAGAGAGAGGAGGAAGCAGGCTCCCTGCTGAGCAGAGAGCCTGATGCGGGGCTTGATCCCAGAACCCTGGGACCATGACCTGAGCTGAAGGCAGAGGCTTTAACCCACTGAGCCACCCAGGCACCCTAAATTAAGTAATTCTTAATGGAAGTTTCCATTTAGTGCTTAATGATTATTAACTATGTACTGATATTTTTATAAATTATAGATGTATTTTGATATACAGTCTCCATTTTTATTTTCCCTACCACCTATCATAATGTATTACTTTCCCAGCCTCTAATCTACTCTTGGGAAATTTCTTCTGCAAAAAGTAGAAATAAATAGGCTTTTACCTCCAAGAACAAATTTTGTCTCTAAAAATATGAACACATAGAAATGATGTAGTAAATGTGATTATCAGTATGTACAGCACAGTTATAGTATTTTATACAATTATATCTTACATTACCATGTTACCACAAATCCACTTTTTCCTGAGTAGATTTATATAAACTACACATTAAATCTGTTTAATATATATTTATAATGTAGATAAAATGAATAAGCAAGCAATGTACATTTAAAACCTAAATTAGAAAATTTTTATGGGTTGTTAAATACTTGAAAGATTTCTTTTATTTGATCAAATTTCTCTTAAAATATTCATGTTCTGTTTTTTGGTCTACTAAAAATGATTTTATTCACATATAGCATATATAGTGTGTACAGGAACTTATAATTTGGGGTATGTCTTCCCTTTTTTTCTTTCAATTCTTTGGTGACTTAAAATGATACCCAGTTTTTTTCTTGAAAATCTACTTCTTTAATTTCCCAAATTTTATAAGATTTCTGAGCTTAAATTCTTCAGAACTTATTTTTTGTTATTTATATATGTAAGTTTCAATGCAACCAAAGTGCCACATTCCTTCCCTGCTAATTCTGCTCCTCCCTTATCGCTGTGTCTTCTTAGCACGTATTGTTAATTGTGGGGAAAGGGAAGAGCATGAGCTTTGTAAAACTTTTTCCTTACTCTCCCTCCCATCTCCCTTTGCAACTAGTTAAGGGAGAAAAAGGAAGAAGAAAGTTTGCTACCTAAATAAGATTTCTCCAAACAAGTTCCCTTAACCAGTCCTCAAACCCAAGTTTCTCTCCCGCTCCCTAAGTCATAACCATGTCACCGAGGGATGACTCCTTAGTTGGACTACCTGCTGTACTAAAAATCCTTACTCTCACTGACTGATCCCAAATCCTAATTTATAGTGGATTTTCCATTAAGATAGCATTGCCAAAACATTTCTAGGGAACAATAAGAATTTTTTTTTTTTTTTTTTTTTTTTTTTTTTTTTGGTGCATTAAGAGTAGGCTTTGTGGGTTGATCTGGGAACATAAACCATCTTCTTTTAGGATTCCTGTGGGAAGATACAATCAGATTTCTAAACAACCAACTTCCTAAAAATGGGTTGTCAATGTTTGAGCTGAGGGATTGCACCTCCTTTAAAGTTGACTAAAGAACTTGGACAGAATTATAATCAGCAACCCGTTTTTCATGTGTAAATGTTTATGTCAGTAAAGCGTTCTTGCGTAGGTTGAACATTCCCATGTCATCTTATTCATGGTATTCAGTGCAAGTCTCTCCCTGAGAGAGGGAAAGGCTTCTTTGGTATCACGCCTTCTTTAGTTAGGAGTTCCAGATTAATAAGGTTTTATTTTGTAGACTGATGGTAGAAAGGGAAAATGTCTATTATTCAGGGAGTTCTTCTGATGATCTTCTGAAAGCCGAAGACAGCTTAGATGGATTTAACTTAGATTGTTAAGAAATTGTGAGGCCTGCAAAGCTAAATGGCAGAGATAGTGTGAAACTGAATACGAAAATAGGCCTTAGGGAAGAGAGGTGAGTCTTTGCATTTACCTAAATGGGTAAGCAAATGGTTCTTGACAAGGGAAATGAGATGGTGAAAGCATATTATGGAGAAGGGGGGGAAAGGCAATTCTAGCAGCTGTAGTTAAGATGGGAAAAGAGGTAGAGAAATGAATGGAGAGGTTGCTGCTCTGAATCCATTGTATCAAAGGAAATCAAATCCTTGGAGAGGAAAAAGCATGGGATAGGGTAAATAATGTCACAGAGACTGGGGAAAAGTGATTGGGTAAGAAGAGAAAAAAATAAGTGATGAGAGAGCAAGTCAGGGAAGAAAGGAGGAAAGGAAATGAGAAAAAAGACAGATGCGTTTTTGTATTTCAAACTAGAGGTCCTGAGAATTTTTTGGGATGTGGGGCAAAATTTATCTATTGAAATGAAAATCACCCTGCTATTTATTCATTAATTCATATGAACACAATTTAAGTCAATACCTT